ATGAAACAAAGTAAATGGTATTTTTTAGAGCCAGGAATGTTCTGCATTGTTCATTCTGGACCTTATTTTGAACTTATCATATTTTTTAAATTTTCGTGAAATTGGCCAAATTGAATTTCTGACCACATTTTGGGTAGTTGAAATTGATAAATGGGCAAGCTTGTTGTAACTTGAATCGATAGAAAAAGTGGAGTTCTAAAGAAATAGCTATGGAGTTTGTTTTTCGACAGGGAACAATGGAATTAGCCGAAAATAGGGCTCAATGTGTGCAAAAATCACCGATTTGTAAATATTCGCCGAGGTCGCTTAACTTCGCGAGAGCGTAATTCTGTCAGTTTTCCATCAAATTTCGTTTTTTTTGTGTCCATTACAATCGGGGAGAAATAGATTCTCAATCATTATAAGAAAAAAACAATTTTTTTTTTAAATTTTGCGACCTCCAGGAGACGCTCAGGATTTGGGGGTTGCGACAGGTCAAGGGGTTTAAGGGATGGAGCATAGCATTGACCTAGTAGCACAAGCTAGTTAGGTCCAATCCTTCAACCCATTCATATATTTATCCAACCTATTTGAAAACTACACAACGTCTTAGCTTCTATGACAGTACTGGGGAAGTTTGTTGAACTATCAAACTCTATTACAATCCAGTGGCTTTCCTATATTCCTTCCTGAAATCTGAATTTTTCTAATTTCAATACATTGCTGCTGAAGTCCTGTCGATATTAGATATTTTTAGCACGCTATTTACATCCCTTTATTAATTCCAGCTTTTCATTTATACACTCTAATCACTCCCACCTAATTCTTCACCGTTCTAGAGTGTAGATTCAGGGCCCTTAGTCTTATCATCATAGGGTAGATTTCTGATACATGGGATCAACTTTGTCATCTCCTCTGTATGTTTTCCAGAGGCATTTTTATCCGTCCTGTAATACTGTGACCAGAATGAAGCAGCATAAGTCTAAATGGGGCTAACAAGGATAAATAGAGTTGAAGATCACCTGAGAATTTTTATTAATTATTTATTGCTTCTTGATATGAAGCAAGGATTCTGTTAGCTTTATTGTGAATACTTAGGCACTTTGTCCTGGTTTCAGATTTGCAAACCAGAACCCTAAATCCTTTTTGCAATCTGTAATACTATATTACTTTTAGTTTTATAGTGGCATGGTTTTGGTTATTTGCTATGGTCCAAATTTAGACTTTGCATTTGTCTATATTAAACTGCTATGCCACTTCTCCGACAATTGCATCAGTCTCTTCAATTCATCCTGGAGTGCTCTAATGGTCCTCATTAGAATGAAGTGGAGGGCCGATTTGGTGTGTCATCAGCAAATTTGCATATGTCACTATTTTTCCCTCATCTATGTCGTTTAGGTCCGATTGTAAACAAGGGCCCAACACTGTCCCTGTGGAACACCGCTTGTGACCATACCCCCATTCTGATGTCTCCCCATTTATGCAAACTATCTGCTGCCTATTGGTCTCCCCATTGCCTCTACTAGGAAAAATTTCTCCTATTTGTGGCCTTATAGTTACTCATAGTCTTGATGTGGACCTCTATCAAATGCATTATGTAGTCCATAATACAAATTACCAATTTATTACCATGATCTAACCTCGTAAATACTTAGTGTGAAAGTTAGGAAATTCGTTTTAAGACAGGGAAACGTCACTTTGTAAACTCTTGCGGAGATTCATTAATCAATTTATGCCTTTCAAGATGTACGAATGGCTTCGGCACTTATTGATTCCATAAATTTACCCAACTATGGAAGTAAGCTTATTGGTCTATAGTTCGAAGCTAAGGGCCTGTCCTGTCACCTGCTTGTAAATAGGTATGTATTACATTTTGCCATTTTCCATTTGTCTGGCACTATGCCAGTTTGTATTGATAAATTGTAAAAGATTAGCCAAAAAGGTCTGCTAAGCCTTTTTACATTCCTTTAAAACACCTTGCAAATTGTTCATCAGGCCTGTGGGATTTGTTAAGTTTTTAATTTCTCTATTAGGTTAGAGTTAGGTTACGTATGGTTTATTAGAAAAATAGGACAAAGTGTTCCATACACGGGTCTTTGTCAATATGAGGAAACATTGCTGGAGCTTCTAGTCATCTGATCGAGGCCTGCCTCTGGCTTACCTGTCTCCCTTTAAAAATTATGGTCATGATTATAACAAGTGGAATACTAGCAGATTCAAGATTGGACCTCTTCCACCTCTAGGTTGAACACTGCACTTTCTTCAGTGATACTCAGGTGTTGGCATATGTCAAAGACAGCAGTATGGACAACTATCTTAGAAGGAAAACTCACGAAATCGTTTACGACACTATTCCTGCTGATTTTTTAGGAATACTTGCCTAGGGGAGGTTCAAACTCTACCTGGTTCATTATTTGTTTTCAGAACAAATACTACAAATACCGACCTCTTTCAATGGATTATTAAACCCTGGGAGTAACCCAGGAAGTTAATAAGCCAGGATAATTATCCTGATATATGCATCGCCTCAAATCAAAATCATACACCATCATCGAAACCTCGCCGAAACCACAGTGCAAAGTTCCGCCCAGAGGTGGATGACACCCACTATGCAACTGTCAGGGCCCCATCGCTTGCAACTGCATCAAGCCATCATTGCCACTGCACAGCCATCAACTTGCAACTGCACCAGCCATCGCTTTGAAACTGCCAGCCTTCCTTGACAACTGCAAAGCCATACTTGCAACTGCACAGCCATCACTTGCAACTGGTTCACTCGACCCAATCTTTGGGACCTTTCTGTGAATATGTTGCAATGATCACCAGAGTTTGGCATCGAACTTTCATCGCAGACTTGTAACCTATTTAATACAGGAACAGCGTAATAGTATTTGTATTCTAATTTACAATGGATAACAATAACTGTTTATCTACTATTTGTAATTAAAATAGTCAATAACAACTATTTGTACCAACTTGAAAATAGTCAATCATAACCATTGGTAATCTACTTAAAATAGTCAATTAACATTAGTATTTGTAATTAACTTTAATACATCACTTATTATAAATCCAAAAAAGGCAATATATCACTAATTTTTTATACTTACAACTTCGTAGTTACTTTTCAAGATTACTGTGGAAATATTAAACGGAAATATTAACAACGGTAATTTTCCTGATACCAAAGACAAGTTTTTCTCTTCACATAAACAAAACAAAACAAAAAAAAATCCCCCTCAAAAGGTAATGTGGTTTTAATATAGTCATAAGTGTGGTGTAAAAATGAAGGCGTCTCCTGGGTTGTAAACTGAGGCAGTCTCTGGGTGTAAACGGAGCAGTCTCCTGGGTTGTAACTGAGGGGCCCCCCAAAGTCTCCTGGGTGTAAACTGAGGCAGGTTCCTGGGTTGATAAACTGAGGCAGTTTCTCTGGTGTAAACTGAGGCAGTCTCCTGGGTGTTAACTGAGGCAGTCTCCTGGTGTAAACTGAGGCCAGTTCCTGGTTGTATAACTGAGGCAGTCTCTGGGTGTAAAACTGTGGCAGTCTCTGTCCCCCCCCCCCCCCCCCCCTCGGTGTAAACTGATGCATTCTCCTGGGTGTAAAACTGAGGCTGTTCCTGGGTGTAAACTGAGGCAGTCTCCCTGGGTGTAAACTGAGGCAGTCTCTGGGTTGGAAACTGAGGCAGTCTCCTGGGTGTAAAATGAGTGCCGTCCTGGGGTGTAAACTGAGGCAGTCTCCTGGGTGTAAACTGAGGCAGTCTCCTGGGTGTAAACTGAGGCAGTTCTCCTGGGTGTAAATGAGGCAGTCTCCTGGGTTGTAAATGATGGGCACTTCTCATGGTGTGTAAACTGAGGCAGTCTCCTGGGTGTAAACTGAGGCAGTCTCCTGGGTGTTAAACTGAGGCAGTCTCCTGGGTGTAAACTGAGCAGTCTCCTGGGTTCGTAAAACTGAGGCAGTCTCCTGGGTGTTAAATGAGTCAGTCTCCTGGGTGTAAAACTGACGGCAGTTCCTGGTTGTAAACTGAGGCAGTCTTCCTGGGGTGTAAACTGAGGCAGTTCCTGGGTGTAAACTGAGCTGTTCCTGGGTGTAAAAACTGAGGCAGTCTCCTGGGTGTAACTGAGGCAGTCTCCCCTGGGTGGTAAATGAGGCAGTCTCATGGGTGTTATACTGAGGCGTCTCCTGGGGTGTAAACTGAGGCAGTCTCCTGGGATGTAAACTGAGGGCAGTCTCCTGGGTGTAAAACTGAGGCGTCTCCTGGTGTAAAATGAGGCAGTCTCTGGGTTGTTGTAAACTGAGGCAGTCTCCTGGGTGTATC